AATACATTTTATTTAAAAGCACTTTTCTGAATACTCAAAGACACCGTACAATTTTACCATCTTTATTATCACATCTCAAGTGTATCATATCAACGCTGAAGCAGCTTTACTACTGTTAATACTCTAATATTACATGTTAATAATAGTATCTATGATATTATTATTAATAATCATCATCAGCATTATTTAAAAAATAAACACGCGTACACAGGTGTGCGCATGCGTAGTGTTCGGTCGGTTCGATACCAGCGATGTTCGATTGTTTTGGACTGCAGACAAGATGGCCGCGGACTGCCAGCCGTGTTAATTCTCACACACTTGTTATTTCTGATGATATAAGCTAATATTTGAAAGTTCCGGGCAGAGATGGGTTTATCACAGAGTTCAGAAGTATCCGAGGGAGGGACGTATGGATACCACGTCCACGGCGTAAGAAGGCTTCATCTTGCTTTGTGTTACAGCAGCTTACCATGAAACCTTACTGTATGCTAACAGACAGCTAGCGCCGGAGCTGCTGCAGACCCTCCGGTGAAACCTGATGAGGTGGCACTGTCTACCTGTTCCTCCAGGTTGCCACAATGTAACCGAAACCTTCATTTATTTTAGATTTAAAAAAAAAAAAAGAAGAAGCTTGAATTCGGGTTTGTAACTTGTCTCAAATAAGGTGTCCCAACAGTCCTGTATCTGTGTAAAGTCAACCATTACATTCAGTACAACACGAATGCCTCTGCTTGGACTAATATAATGGTGTTCAGCATCGGGGCTAATTAAAGAAGGTATTTATTACTGGCCTCTGATGAATCGCCTTACTGTACAGATTGTACATTTAATGACATTAGTGTCGGAGTCTGTGGATTAACTGATGCATCGATCGAGATACAGCGAAAAAGCCAAATAACATTCAAGCTTTAGGATTTGCTGCTTTTTTTATGTGAATGTTAGTAAATATTTTCTATGTATAAAATATGTTGGAGTTTTGGACTGTTGGCTGGACAAAACAAGCATTTTTTTAGGGGCATGCGCAAGAAAAGCAAACCTTTTTTGAAAAACCCTTCAAGTTCTAAATTAATACAAAAATAAAAATAGTCCCTTTTTACTGTAGTCATGTAGTTGGTAAAATAGGTCATGATTTAAATGCTCCAAAAATATTTAGAAAATGAATTTCCAAAATAATATTGTAATTATGTCATTATATTTTAAGATAAAACACCACGAGTTATCAAACACTTGTGTTGGTATTGACAGGTGCAGCCAAGTTCCCCTGCAGAAAAGGCCGGACTGCAGCCCTTCTTCGACTTCATTCTATCTTTGGACAACAACAGACTGGTGAGATTATTGATTGTTCTATTGTAAGTGGCATAAAACAGGCAGCAGATGTACCTCACATTGCTGCTGTTCTGACTCCTCCTGTTGCTGTTCACCAGAATGATGAAAATGACCTGCTGAAGGAGCTTCTGAAAGCCAACGTGGAGAGAGCCGTGAAGATGGAGGTTTACAGCACAAAAACCATGAGGGTTCGTGAGCTGGAGGTGTTGCCCAGTAACATGTGGGGAGGACAGGGCCTGCTGGGGGCCAGTGTTCGCTTCTGCAGCTACCAAGGAGCCAATGAGAACGTCTGGCACGTTCTGGTAAGCTTCTTTCATCAAGAACTAGGAGAACCAAACTGATTGACCTAACTCTGATTTGAGCTTCCATACTCATTACTCCAATATAGCTTCATCTTTTGTTTACTGTTTCCCGTAGGATGTGGAAGCCAGTTCACCTGCTGCACTGGCTGGACTTCAGCCACACAGTGACTACATCGTTGGAGCAGATCAAGTGTTGCAAGATGTAAGAGATAGATATAGTGTCAGATATAGATAGAGCTCTATTGTTAACATTTGGCTCTTATATATTTAGTTAAAAAAGGTTTCTCTTAACAAACCTTTGAAAGAAGAGTTGTAGTTAAGTTGTTATTGTTGATTTCTAGTCAGAAGACTTCTTCTCGCTGATCGAGGCCCATGAAGGGAAGCCCCTGAAGCTGCTGGTGTACAACACACAGACAGATGTCTGCAGGGAGGTGGTGGTCACACCAAACGGAGCGTGGGGCGGAGAGGGCAGGTACGTGACAATACACAAATACAGTACTGACTTACTGGAGAAAACCTCAGTATTTCACCTTTAATAAGTTCATCTTTTGGCCTTAGGACTGTTTATTGTCTATTCTACATAACATTTCAAATAAATAACATCACGCTGGCTTTAGAATTTACTTATTGGAATAATAATGCTGGTGTTAGCATTACTGGAGCTATGCTAAATGAAGAGAAAAGTGCACTATACTGTTTATTCAATAGATCAACCACTGTGAAAGTCAGTTGGCCATTCAATCACAGTGACCTTTTATTCAGATTAGTCAGCATTATTTTATGTTTTCAAATGTATTAATTGTTTAATGGTGTTATAAATAGTAGTGAAGCATTTAAAAATGTTTGCCCTTAGTTTGGGTTGCGGCATTGGTTATGGCTACTTGCACCGAATCCCAGCAGCAAATCCTGACACACCGACGGAAATGCCTCCGACCCCTGTTCCTGAGGAGGAACCCCCCCTAAAGCTGCCTACCCATGGATTCATGGAGGTAAATCTGCTCCACATTTTCAACGTTTACGGCTGCAACTAATGATTAGTTTCACTGTTTATTAATCTATTGGTTGGTTTTCTTCAATTAAGTTAATTTATTCTATAAAATCTCAAAAAAAAAAAAAAAAATCTCATGTTTGCTACATAATTGATTAGATGACTGATGGATTACAGAAATTGCTGCTGAATCATCTAATAGTTTCAACACTTCCCATTTGTTTGTTTCACTGCTAACTTAACCGTTGAGTGACAAGCGATTGGCAGTAGCAACAAAGCTTATTTCTGTTTGTTTTGCAGGCGCCTTTGATGGCACCTTCAAGCCAAAGTGAAGATCTGTTAGACCTGGAGCAAGTCACCCTCCAGGAAGGTCCTCTACCTCCACCCCTCCAGAGAGTCATGGACCCTGGTCAGTTCAGATATGCTGTGGTTTCAGAGGATGAAGATACACAATGTATGAGTCTTCTTGGCATCTCACTGGGTACATAAAAAATCTCATCAGCAGGGGTCTTGTGTTTGTTTTTCCAGGTTTCTCAGACTCTGACGTGGTTGTGGTGAACCCTGACGTTGCAGACTTGGTGGACAGACTGGAACTGTCCATGTCATCCATCGACATGACCAACACCGCACTGGCTATGCACGAGGAGAAGGACGGAGACATCTCTGGTGTTGGTAAGTTAGGCAGCACTTCATACCAGCATCCCGTAGCTTTTGGGTATATATTTGGCGAAAGGAATATGAACTATGTTTGTGCTTCCTGTTGTACAGAGGAGCTGGAAGACAGTTTGCTGCTTTCATCATCAGCAGACAACCAGACTGACCCACGAGAGCTGAGCTCCCAGGCAGCCATGGACCTCACTTCTGCTCTGGCTTCAGATGACACTTTGTCAGATTCAGGCATCCCACCGGCTGAAACATCTCCCCTGGAGTCCACAGACCTACCCGCCTCTCTCTGCGAGTCTAGCAACAGCCCAAGTCCACCTTTGGGTGCACTGTCTCTCCCCGTGGAGTCCCCCGAGCCTCCTGTTGAGTCCCCCGAGCCTCCTGTTGAGTCCCCTGTTCCAGTTGAAGACCCCCCCTGCCCATCTCCTGTCGATCTCCTCCAATCCTCTGCTGTTAATGAGTCAACAGCGGATGATTTCCCCGCTCAGGCCATCGACGATGAAACAGGGCGAGCGGAGGAGTCAGCAGAGCCTCTAGATGTGGCTCCTGCTCACCACTGCAGCCACGAGAGTGATGAGGAGGATCCGGAAAAGCCGCCTCTTGAGTAAGCGTGCATCAGGCCACACACAAAGTGAAGCTGACAATCACTGGGGCTTTTTAAAGAAACACTATATAGGAAATACAGGACAGACCGAGGGAAAGGCTGAATAATTTTATACTGATATCTTAAATCAGGTTAGTTACACTACAGAAACCAGCTAAAGCATTAGCATAGAAGTATAGAAACACTTAGAGGCACTGTAGGAACATCCTATTTGTTTTATATGTGAGAATCTAAAGTTACTGCTCATTTGTACGCCAAGGTTATAATGTGATCAACATGATCCCTTGCTTGGTGCAAAATTAAGAGTATACGGGTGACAAAACTTTGCCTCGGGTACACAAATGTCATGAATACTTGAACACTTCCAAAGATAAACACATACATTTACTACAGCAAAGCACAGCTGCACCTTCATATCAAATAACACTCAATGTTCCTGAAGCTACCAGACTGTTGGCAGGTCAGATGAGACATTACAATGTTGTGGTGCATTTATACATCTGTTATCCATGTGTTTCAAAGAAGCTAATAACGATTTAAAACTGGCTCACTAAATTATAGGAGGGGAACTTTTACTGTAGTTCATGGCCTCTGTATTGGATTTTAATGTGTTTTTGATGTGGTATGAGATAAATTTTGTCCACTTGTACTGTGAAACCAGTCAGTGCAAGTTTTTACACCAGATTTGATGGTCAGTATGTTTTAACACTGTATTTTATTTGATTTATTCGGCCATGCAGTCTGTGATCTGTTTGAAAACAGTTTTTACTGCTTGTATCGTGTCCCCATTACGAAAGCTTTGAAATGCAATATTTTTTCCCCTCACGATTATTCTTTCACAGATGAAAAACTGTTTTTTTAATGATTGTGAGGGAAAACACTACTTGTCTTTCAGGGCTTCCATGCTACATGTCTCCTTCAACGCTATTCTTACTTTGTAATTTTTGTGATCTATGCAACAGTAGACAAGTACTGCCTGTGACTTGACAGATAAAGTGTAAATCCTTTCATATATAGAGTATGTAAGAAGTAACAGTGATGCTGCTGTTGAGTATGTTTTGTGTTTTTCTAGGGGGCTTCTCAATGTTTTTCACAGTCAAGTAGGTGCTAGTGTGTAAAATAAGGAAAAGTATTTTTGCAAATATTTTATCAATTAATTGTATGTTTTATTAGGAATGAGTGCAGAGTCTTTTGATGAATGTGAAATGGGTGAATCTTGGATGGTTAAACAATCATATCACTTGGCTTAAAAAAAGAAATTGTCCCTTGTTTTTCTTATTTCACGCTCATCAGCTGAACACATTACAACTCAAGAAACATCCATTTAAAATTCCCATAATCTGTCATTGTTAAACCATTCCAATTTATTTCTTCGAATGCCTAAAATATACATATTTCACAAATTATTACAAGGGATATTAAAGTGTTTACGGCCTAATTATGGTACCCATCACGTTTTTGGCCAATTAGAGCTCACTCGATGCATCCCCACTATGGCGTTAAAACACACTCAACATGGCAAAAGTAACTGCAGAAAATTTACAATGAAAAGATCTGTTGTTCTGCCTGGTGACACACACCAAGAGAGAATGAGACTGTTTATTTCTCTGCTGAATTTTCCCACAGTGGTTGAATATTTATATATTCTCTTGGATGAGATTCCCCTTCAAGTTATATTCATGTTTCATTGAACTCCTATAGAATCTAAATGAAATATACATTAGGAACAGCCCTCACTGTCATCAAAGTCCCTGCTCATGGCCCAAGCACAGAGCGAGTAAGCATGAGTTACTGTTAAAGACTGCTCCCGACTGCTAAGATGACTTGGGCGACTACTAACATTCGTAAGAGTAAACTGACATTTCTGGGTTGTAGTGAATACAACTTTTAACATCCCAGTCAAATTACTTTCATGATCATGAATGTGCTTTAGCAATTTTGAAAAAATGACAGTTGGTTTTAAGTAAACTGTACAACAACACAATAAAACTGCTGCAAAACCAAAAGAACAAAAAGTCACTTAAATCAAAAATGTTGTACATATATTTACAAAAAAAACAGAACATTCAGTCCATTGAGAACAACACAGCTAAAAAGAAGTGACAAAGACAGGTGCTTCTGTCAATGAGGTTCAAGCTCTGCAGTAATTAGATGTCTAAGTTGAGGTTAAGTTCAAGTTAAGATGACAACAGAACAGAGGAGGATTGCTTTGAGGGACTGTGACGCTACCCGGAGACCAAGTGTACTCTAAACTGGGGACACAGCAGAGACGGGTTTGGAGTGTTTATAGAACAAGGACAGTTTCTGGAATGTACTAGAACAAACAAACAGTCTACTACATCCATGTGCATATACACACACGCTCGGACACAAACGCGCACTGAAACTTTTGTCGCTTCAAAAGAAAAAAGCCAATCACAAGGAAAGAACAAACAGCAGTCAAAGAAAAAAAAGAAAAGAAATTGGTGATCGCTGGAGAAAACAGTCCATTCATGTAATTCTTGTCAAACTGTAAAAAAAGAAAATATATAACATTACCAACCACTTATCTCCCAGGTGTCTCTTGGCTGCTCCGGCCTGTTCTGGTCAGTTCCCTATGGTACACCATGAGCAAAGTCCTCACAAATTTTACTGGATTCTCATTGATACTGCGACTCTGGACCACACAATGGGGTTTTAGGGTACTACATGTCAGAGGTGGGTGGTGATTGGCAAATGACGAAGAGTTCTTGTTTTAAAAATGATGACTTTCACGTGGACTTCTGCCTATAGTGAAGCGTCAAGTCCCCTCCGCTCTTCCAGATAAAATGTTTAACTGTTCGCAGGTCCATGTTGGGATCTAGAACCTGGTTGAAAGTTAAAAACAATAAAAAGGTTAATACAATGAACAATGACTGGGAATGCACGAGACATACGAACTGTGCAAGCAAAGACGCCGTGCCCACCTGGTCTTGACACATTAGTTCAATCTTTTCCTCAGCCAGCATGGCCATGTCCTCCTCCTTCTCCTGCTCCCCGGGCTTATCGTTGGCGGAGGAGCTGGTGGTCTGCGACTCGTTGTCCAGGTTGATGATCTTCTCGTAGACGTGCTCCATCACCTTCCTCACCTGGAGCATGTCGCTGGCCGAGAGACGGTCCCTGTGGAACACATAACGGGTAAAATCAGCTCTCAAAGGTGAGCTACAACCGATCCACGTCTGCATAGATGGTTTCTGCTCACTGCATTATGTAATCAAAGGAGATGCAGTTCCACAGCACATGAGAAACTTACTTCTTTAGAGTTTTTGCACCAGAGGAAGAATGGGGCTGGAGGTAGAATGGGATTTTGTTGAACTTCGGCATATTTTTCTGGAACAAAAGAGGAAGGATGTTACATGTAAATAATAATGGAAGGAGAAACTGTTACGCTAACGAATTTTTCTCCTGTGAAAAACGGTGACATAGCACTGATCTCCAGTGGGAAAGCACAGGTATAAATCATTCATGATGGCTGAATTCCATTTAGCTGCTTCAGTTTCAGGGTCCAGGTATTGTGCATGCTGGCTCATGGAAACACTATAGTAGAACTGAGCCATTGTTAATGTTATTAGTAACACCCTTGTTTTTCCTACTAAGACAAGTTAAAATGTCTGCTGTTACAAGGGCCTATACACTACTTCAGGAAAAACCTGTATAGCCACAAAACATCCAACTTCCTCTATAGTTAACTGCATCTTTACCATTGTTAGGATACAAGCTAGCAAGAGTGAGTTTGGAACCACCAATGACACAGTGACAAAAATGTATTTTGTTGGTTTCTCTGAATAAAGGAGCTTTAGAGGGCGCCCGGTTAGCTCAGTCGGTAGAGCTGGCGTCCCCTTTTACTGAGGCTGAGTCCTTGCTGCAGCGGCGCAGGGTTCGAATCCGACCTGCGGCCCTTTGCTGCGTGTCATCCCCTCTCTCTGCCCCCCTTTCCTGTCTGTCTTCAGCTGTCACTATCATAAAGGCAATAACAATAAAAGCCCCAAAAATAGAGCTTTAGATAAACACACACACGGATATGCAATATGTACAAAGTAGCACGGCTAATACATAACACTCACATGAGCCTTCTGAATTTAATCACTTGACTTTTGTCCAATATTTGATTTAATGTAAAGTGAAAAACATATACTGTACTGCACATCTACAGTTATATCAATAACCACTGTGGAACGGACTCATTCAGCAGAATGGACTAGTCTCTCCCACCTGAATCTCTACATAGCACCTGCAACCACACAACAACAACATCAGAAGTGCAATAAATGGACTTACCATTTCTGTTAGGACAATCATAATCTACATCGTTACAAAAGCCAGCTTTTCTCAATTACTTGAACCGACGTTAACTAGGGATGTTAAGTGAAAACATTACCATAAATATG